CTTTAGGCTCTGTCTCAAAAAAAAAAAAAAAAATGACCAAAAAAAAAAATGAGGGTGTATAACACACCCCCTGGTAAGAGACTCTTTTACAACTGGAACTTTACCCTGAGAGAACAATGTAATCTAAAAATTTTTACACTTATATTAATTTGAAATTAAAAAATTATACTAAGTGGGGAAAAAAGAATTGAAACTATAAAACTCTAAGAAGAAAATGTAGGAGTAAATTTTTATGATCTTGAATTAGGCAAAAGTTTCTTAGGTACAAAACCAAAAGCATAACCAAGAAAAGAAAATATAAATAAATCGGACTTCATCAAAATTAAAAACTTCTGTACTGGGGTGCCGCCTGTAGCTTAGTGGGTAGGGCGCCGGGCACACACACCAAGGCTGGTGGGTTCAAGACCAACCTGGGCCAGCTAGAATCAACAATGACAACTACAATAACAACAACAAAAAAAATAGCTCGGTGTTGTGGCAGGTGCCTGTAGTCCCAGCTACTTAGGAGGCTGACTCAAGAGAATTGCTTAAGCCTAAGAGTTGGAGGTTGCTGTGAGCTATGACACCACAGGACTCTACCAAGGGTGACATATTGAGACTCTGTCTCAAAAAAAAAAACACCCATGATTGCATTAATGTACATGGCTATGATTTAATAAAAAAAAAAATCTCTGTACTTCAAACAATGTCATCAATAAAGTCAAAAAACAACCTATAGAATGGGAAAGTATTTGCAAATCAGATATATAAGAGAGTGGTACCTAGCATACATACAGAACTCTTACAATTCAATAAGAAAAAAGACAAATAACTCAAATTAAAAATGGCAGAAGGCTTGAATAGACATTCTTCCAAAGAAGACATAAAAAAATGGCCACTAAGCCCATGAAAAGATGTTCACTATCATTAGTTATCAGGGCAATGCAAATCAAAGTCACAAAATACCACTTCATACTCACTAGGATAGCTATGTTTAAAACGACGGATCATAACAAGTATTGTCAAGGATGCGGAGAAATTAGAACCCTCATACATTACTGGTGGGTATAAAAATGGTATAGCTACTTTGGAAAACATTTTGGTAGTTCCTCAAAATGTTAAACATGGTTATTATATGACCCAGCGATTCCACTCTTATGTGTATATGTTATATATATATATGTGTGTGTGTGTGTGTGTGTGTGGTGTGTATAATATATATATGCCCAAGAGAAAAAAAAATGTATCTACACAAAAACTTGTATCTAAAATGTTTATAGCAACATAGCAGCCAAAAAGAAACAACTTAAATGTCCACTTGATGAAAAGACATATAAAATGTGCTACATCCATGCAATGTCATATTACTTGGTAATGAAAAGAAATTACTGATATATACTGTAACATAAAAAAGCCCTGAATACATTATGCTAGCTGAAAGGATTTCGTCACAAAGAGTATGTGCTTTACAATATAAATACAAAATGTCCAGAATAGGCAAATCTATACAGATAGAAAGTAGATCAGTGGTTGCCTAGGGCTGGGGGTGTGGTAGATGTTGGGGGCCTGGGAATGACTGCTAATAGGCAAGGGGTTTTTTTTTGACCTGATGAAAATGTTCTATAAGTAAACTATGGGGATGGTTGTGTAACTGTCAATACACTAAAAATCATTGAATTGTATCCTTCATATAAGTGAATTGTAAGGTATGTGAATTATATCTTAATAAAGTTGTTAAAAGAAAAAATGGTTATCCTATTAAACTGCAATAGCAATATGATTTAAAATGCCATTCTATTCATTCATCATTAAACATTGAGGTTATTTTCAATTTTTCACTCTGTTAAATAATAGTGTATCCAAGCACTTTATTTCAAAGAACTGTTTTTTACTAAAGCTGATATAAATTTAATAAACATGTGATATCACTAAGGTCATCTACATAACTTCAAGCTCACAAGAAGAAATCTAAAAGAAATCTATTAATTTCTTTTTTGCAGTTTTTGGCTGGGGCTGGGTTTGAACCCACCACCTCCAGCATATGGGACCTGCACCCTACACTTTTGAGCCACAGGCGCCACCCACAAATCTATTAATTCTTTACAGATGCAAATAACTGGTATCTTCTACACAATTTTCTCCTACAGAACAAAGTTAGTTGCTTACCCTTAAGCCTCAATTATGATAAATTTGGCAATAATAGATACAAAATAGAGTGACTTTAAAAAATAAAAGTTTAGGGGGGTGCCTGTGGCTCAGTGGGTAGGGCTCTGGCCCCATATACTGAGGGTGGCAGGTTCAAACCTGGCCCCAGCCAAACTCCAACAGCAACAACAAAAACAGCCGGGTATTGTGGCGGGCACCTGTAGTACCAGTTACTTCAGAGGCTGAGGCAAAAGAATTGTCTAAGCTTAAGAGCTGGAGGTTGCTGTGAGCTATAACACCAAGGTATTGGTGTTATAGGTATTGCCCCCTACCAAGAGCAATAAAGTGAGATTCTGTCTCAAAAAAAAAAAAAAAGTTTATTTCTCTGTCACATAAAAGTCTAGAAGTAGATAGGTGACCCAAGGCCTGGAGGGTAAATTTCTCTGCAATGTCCTCAAGACCCCAGGCTCCTTTCTGTCCACTGCCTTGCCAAACTAAAGGGTATAGTTGTTATGGTTTAAAAATGGTAGCTATCACATCTCCATTTCAAACAACAAGCTAAAAGAAGAAACAGTTGACCCGGAAGGGGGCCAGAGGGTATACGCCAAATATCTTTAAGAAAAGTTCCCAGATATCATTTCTGCTGTGCATCCATTGGCCAAAACATTGTGCCATAGTCATACTTAATGTCAAGTGGACTGAGAATATAATGTTTATTCTTGGTAGCTTTTGTTTAGATAGAATTAGGTGGGCTATTTTATCATGGAAAAACTTGGAAACAGACATTTCAAAATAACTAGCAGACTCAGTCAATGATTCACTCATAACTTATCTAATTACACAAAACCCTACCCAAAGCTGGAAAGAAAAATAACCTGTCACAAAGGATGAAAGAAATAAGAGGAAACAAGAACTATGCACCAAATTAGATGTATAAAAATAGTTATGCTTAATAGTTGAAAGCCTCAGAGGAGATGCAATTGCAAAATGGTAGAGAAATAATCAAAAGTTCTAAAGGTGTGGAGAATGTTTTTTATAAGGTAATATCCATCAGACACACAAAAGCAAATAAAAAGAGATTAAATGAGCAATAACTAAGATCATTCTGCTTTTTACTTCCCATCAAGACAATAAACTGAACAAAATAAAAAGTTCATCTTTGCTTAATTTTTTCTTCATATATCTCTAATTCCTAAAACACTTATGTTATCACTGATTTTACTGCTTCTGGTAGTGTTCCAAGGATATATGTTATATTTGGCTTTTTCTATACATATCTAAAAATAAAATCACTTTTATTTGGGAAACAAACTGAAAGTATTTTTTAATAGTTTTTATTTACTATGTTAACATAGGCATAATATATCTATCAGAAAAATACTGGACACTGTCCTTCACGAAAACCCAATGTATATAACTTTAAATTTACTTAATCCTCTTAATAATTAACTTAAGATCTACAAACAGGCTTTGTTTCTATGTAAGAAATAATCAGTGGCATGTATCTAAGATAAAGTGTTCATAAAAATACATTTAAAAATGATAATTAACATTTAGGTTTTTAAAAAAATTATAAGTTCAGAAGGGCTTAATTATATATATGAATATAAACAAGAAAAAGTGACCATATGGGAAAAATATAACTCTCAAATGTTGATGCCAAGGGTAGTGCTAAAATTTTGTATTAAGAAATATGAGTCATGGGAAAAAGACCAGGGCCAGGGCCCACATATACCCAAATGATACAAAACCCAAAAATAAAAAAAGGTATGCATTTTCTTTAGATAATTCTACAGCTGGTATGCACTTCCTAGGAAGAAGCACAGTTCTAACAAGATGATAGCTTAACAAATAACATGTCATTTACAATTCTTCAAAATGTAATAAATGGATCAGACTCTATGTATCATGGCCATATGAATAAAGATAACAAGTTGCTATCTTGAAAATAACTACATTTCAAATATTTGGGGTTATTTAACAGACAAGTATGTTTGCTTGTTTTGGGGTCTGCTTTGTAGATTTGCAGTCCTATTATATCTGACAAAGAGCCTATAGCATATACCATTGTGGGAGAGTGGGGAAACAATAACCTGGAAAATCAAGAGGGCTGTGTTCCAGTTCTGGTTTGGCCACCTATTAGGCACTGTAGGCAAGACGCCTTCTCTTCATCCTCATTATAAATGACAAATGAGTTGGACTCCATGTTCTCTAAGGTCTTTTCCAGCACTGTGCTGCTAAGACACCTTGCAGGTTCATCTCAGATGACATAACACTCATGGTCTGTTTATACTGTATTAGATCACTTCTGATATATATTTATTATCAGAAAATATCCAACTTGAAATATGAATTATTAAAAATCTTTTACTCCATGTATTTCAAGCAGTAATTCAGAATTCTACTATGGCATTCTAATTTTTTAAAGCAAAATAAGATTACTAGAATGATAAACTTTAGCATTCAGACTATTGAACCTAGAAAATATATATATAATTAATAGAATGTTAAAACCCAAAGAGTATTTGACAGAAATGAGGTAAAGGGGAGGGGTGGAGGGAGGTAGGGAAGGAGAAAGGAAGGGAAGAAGGGGAAGAGAGAGAGAGATTGAGACTACTTATGAAGCTTGTTTCAATGACAATTACTCTATAACAATTATGCACTCATAATTTGTAAACATAATGTGACAATCTGGGGAGAAAAATGTAGTCCAAATGTCAAAATACAGAGCCAAATGATTGTGAATTTTCTTAAGACACATTTTCAGAAAGAGAAAAAATGTCCCCGCCTTTGAGTTACTAAAGGGAACATTTTAAATTATGCCCATTTCTGGTAATATTTTATAGATAATAAATGCCCAGATATTTATAATTTAACTATTTCCTCTTCAATCTGTTTTTTATAGAAGATATGTTAATTTCATTTTGAACATGGTATGCTAAATATCCTGAGCTTCCAGGAATGAAGTCATGTAGTTCCCCAAGGAATTTCTTCATGGCATCAATTGATATATAACCTACAAAATAAATAAATGCATAAATGAATGAATAAATAAATAAATAAAGCACCTAGGCCAAAGTAACTGGAAAGTATGTCTGGCTGAGAGGGTGACCTCTTAGGACTATCTATACACCCAGCTACTAACAACACAAAGAGCTCATCTTCCCTATTTCACTTTTCTGTACTGCTAACACTTGGATAACATTCTTTTAATGAAAAAAATGGAGGCTCGGTGCCTGTGGCTCAAGCGGCTAAGGCGCCAGCCACATACACCTAAGGTGGCAGGTTCGAATCCCCAGCCTGGGCCCGCCAAACAACAATGATGGCTGCAACCAAAAAATGGCCAGGCGCTGTGGTGGGCGCCTGTGGTCCCAGCTACTTGGGAGGCTGAGGCCGGAGACTCACTTGAGCCCAGGAGTTGGAGGTTGCTGTGAGCATGATGCCATGGCACTCTACTCAGGGGGATAGCTTAAGGCTCTGTCTCAAAAAAAAAAAAAAAGAAAAAGAAAAAAATGGAAAATAAGGCCAGATGTAGAGGCTCACACCTATGATCCTAGAACTTGGGGAGACCGAGGCAGGTGGATTGCTTGAGCTCAGGAGTTGGAGACCAGCCTGAGCAAGAGCAAGACCTCATCTCTAAAAAATTAGCTGGGCGTTGTGGTGGGCGCTTGTAGTCCCAGTTACTCGGGAAACTGAGACAAAAGGATCACTTGGGCCCAAGAGTTTGAGGTTGCTGTGAACTACGATGCCATAGCTCTCTACCGATGGTGACAAAGTGAGACTCTGTCTCCACAAAAGAAAACAAAAAAATGGAAAATTGTATTGATCTATGTCACCAAAAGCACATGACAGAAGTGATAGTAAATCATTTCTGAGAGTAGGATATAAAAAAGACTGGCTTCTGTCTTGGGCACACTTTCTCACTCTCAGATTTCTCACTCTGAAGGAAGTAAACTACCATGTTCTGAACAGCCCTCACGTAGAGGCCCACTTGGCAAGGAGTTGAAGCCTTTGAACGAAACTCAACAAGAACCCAACACCCAACCCACTTGGGTGAGTTTTGAAGTGGATTTTCCAGTCCCAGCTGTGCCTTAGAATGACTGAAGCTCAGCTGACAACTTAAATGCAATCTCGCAAGAGACTTTGAGACAGAATTACCTTGCTAAGATATTCTTGGATTTATAATCCTAACAAATTATGAAATAATAAATGTTCATTGTTTTAAACATTTTGGAGCCATTTAAAAGTTTGGGAACAGTTTGATATATAGCAGTAGATAACATACAGTATCTATTATGGATTCCTAAACTTATATCAGAAACCTTTGCAAGTTTTTGCCTATAAGGTATTAATAATTATTAGTAATTGCTTTCTTACTCTTATTAATCATATATGTATGATTAATATAGCTGTCAATCAGAACTTCTTCTTTTTTTTTTTTTTTGAGATGAGTCTCACTTTGTTGCCCTTGGTAGAGTGCTGTTGTGTCACAGCTCATAGCAACCTCAAACTCTTGGGCTTAAGCAATTCTCTTGCCTCAGCCTCCTGAGTAGCTGGGACTACAGGCGCCTGCCACAACGCCCAGCTATTTTTTTGTTTTTAGCAGGTCAGAGCTGGGTTTGAACCCACCAGCCCTGGTACATGTGGCTGGCGCCCTACTCACTGAGCTATGAGCGCTGCCCAGAACTTCTTATCATGAGTGATAATCAGTGATATTAGACCAAGAGGATTTAATTCTAGTCAAAAGCAAAAACCAAACCAAACCAAAACAAAAAAACTTTGATATGTAGAGGACATATGTCAATGTCTGGAGACAGTTTTGGTTGTCATAACTGGAAGAGAAAAGGGTTGTCATATTGGTGGCTAGTGGGCAGAGGCCATGGTGAGCATCCTACAATACACAGGATTGATATCCACCTACCCCCACACAAAGAATTGCCTGGCCTAAAATGCCCATAGTGTCAAAATCGAGAAACGCTAATCTAGAGTATAGCTCCAACTTATATTTTCTGTAACTAAAGACCTCAATTCTATTTTCAGAGATTTGTTTATTTATTTTTATGAGACAGAGTCTCACTTTGTCGCCCTGGGTAGAATGCTGTGGCGTCACAGCTCACAGCAACCTCCAACTCCTTTGCTTAGGCGATTCTCTTGCCTCAGCCTCCCAAGTAGCTGGGACTACAGGTGCCAGCCACAACATCCGGCTATTTTTTGTTGCAGTTTGGCTAGGGCCAGGTTTGAACCTACCACCCTCAGTATATGGGGCCAGCGCCCTACCCACTGAGCCACAAGTGCCACCCTATTTTCAGAGATTTAATAGTGAGTTGAATGACTTCCATTTTGAGGAAGAGACTGTCAAATTGTAGTCACAAAAATTGATACCACAGTTTAAGAACTCTATTAAGAGTTTTAGAACTCTATTTACTAAATGTTTAATTAACAAAAGCTGATTTCTTCCAACAAGGAGTTATTCCTTCCTGTACAGCAGATAGGCATGATAAAAAGAGGGACATACTTGTCGGTTTACATCAAAATTAAAGACAAATAAATTATCTATAAAAAATAAAGCTTTCTTCCAAGAAAGTGCTATTGAGATATTTAATGGAGAAATACAAAAAAAGGAAATAATTATTTAATTGAGCAAATGAAAAGATTAAAAACTTTAATTCCACCAATAAAATTAACAACAGATCGCCACACATTAAAATTATTCTCTAAAAATTCTGACTAATGATATTTTTATATAACACTTTCATGTCTTTTTGGTCAGACTGTTTCTCTATCCAGCAATGACACACAGAGCAGCATTGTTACAGGTCCAAATGTAAGCATATGTCTTTTGTATGGCTGATTTTAGTACTTATCATTGATGTTTTTAATATGTTATTAAATGTTTGGTAAGTTCAAAGGTACTACATGAGCTATGTAGTAACTTGTGATGACATTGCTTAAAGCAAAATCAATACCAGTAACACACCACAACTCATGGTGTAATATTACCTACATTTTATCTGAATGTTTAGGTCTAGGGATAAATTTAAGCAACAATCAGCTGCTGTCAATTTTAGGAGTCCTGAGCACTTATACTTAGTTCATTATTCTTTGCAAATCACAATTTCTCTGGACTATAGTAAGACTGACTTTCTTACTACTATAGCTGGGTAGCTGTCTTCCTTGGTTCTATAAGACTCAGCACAAAACTACACCTTTTTTTAGACAGTTCTTTCAAAGGACTTTGGTAAAGTCTATTTTCTATTACTCAAGTGAAGAAGAAGAAGTGGTTGTAAGGGATAGTAATATAACAAAAGACACCTAGAAACTTCTGGACTAGTTGCAATATTGCTAAATAAAGAGGAAATGATAAATATACAAGTGATTTTTTAATGAATTTTTTTTTTTTTTGATACAGAGTCTCAAGCTGTCACCCTGGGTAGAGTGCCTTGGCGTCACAGCTCACAGCAACCTCAGACTCTTGGGCTTAAGCGATTCTCCTGCCTCATCCTCCCAAGAAGCTGGGACTACAGGTGCCTGCCACAACGCCCAGCTATTTTTATTTTTTGGTTGCAGTTGTTATTGTTTGGCAGGCCTGGGCTGGATTCGAACCCACCAGCTCTGGTGTATGTGGCTGGAGCCCTAGCTGCTGAGCTACAGGCACTGAGCCTTTTAATGAATTTTCAAAAATCTATACTTTTAAAATTGCTGTTTAAAAAACAATTTTTTGGCCAGGTACAGTGGCACTCTGGAAGACCAAGGAGGTAGGATTGCTTGAAGTGAGAGACCAGACTAAGAAAGAGCAAGACCCCACCTCTACAAAGAACAGAACAGTTAGCTGGAGTCTTAGAATCAGCTACTCAGGAGGCTGAGATGGGAGGACTGCTGGAGCCCAGGAGTTTGAGGTTACAGTGAGCCATGATGACACCACCACACTCTAGTCAGGACGACAGAGAGAGACTGTCTCAAAAAAACAAAAGCAAAAACAAAAACAAGTTTTAAAAATCTCTATTTTTTAATTGTTATTAATGACAGCATTGAATACTATGCAAATCAAAATATCCAAATATTCACCTTACTCAGCACTATCCAAATTTGTGTGGCCACATTTCAATTGGATCCTTTGGTTCCACTCTTTCCATGTCAGCCTGTTAGCTATCTTCTCTTTACACAGGATACAAGGGTAGGACATCCAAATATGGAGTCTGTGTACACCTGGGTAATCCATGACTAGGCTTCTGGGCATCTGTGAGATTCTCTAAATTATGTGTAAGGGTTAGCATGTTATGTTTGTGTGTATATGTATGCTAGAGAAAGGAGCCTATGTTTCATCAGATTCTCAAAAGAAACTGTGATTGGGGTTGTCCATGTAATTTATCTTCCAAATTGGGACACTTGAGAGAAAACACTAAGGCAAGGACAATAGGCACAAATTGAAACTGCCTCACATAAATAAGGACATGTATTCACCAGAACTTGAGACCACTGTTTTAGCACAGAAAATATGAACGCATATTCTTAGGTCAATTCTGCAAGTTAATTTATTCAATATATGAATAATATCTCTTCCATTACCATCTTAAATAGAGGGGTAGGTATGTGAAGTATAGCAATAGCTGCTTTTTCTTTTTTTATAAGACAGAGTCTCACTTTGTCACCCTTGGTAGAGTGCTGTGTTGTCACAGCTCATAGCAGTCTTAAACTCTTGGGCTTAAGCAATTCTCCTGCCTCAGCCTCCTAAATAGCTGGGACTACAGGTACCAGCCACAATGCCCAGCTACTTTTTGTTGCAGTTGTCATTGTTGTTTAGCTGGCCTAGGCTGAATTCCAACCCACCAGCCTTGGTGTATGTGGTTGACGCCATAACCACTGTGCTATGGGCACGGAGGCAACAATAGTTTTATTCTACACTATATTCCCTTGTTTCTTCCTTACCTGGTTATACTCTAAATTTTATTCTAAATTACCTGTTACCAGCAGCGCCTGTGGCTCAGGGGGTAGGGCGCTTGCCCCATATACTAAAGGTGTTGGGTTCAAACCCGGCCCTGGCCAAACTGCAACAAAAAATAGCCGGGCGTTGTGGTAGGCGCCTGTAGTTCCAGCTACTCGGAAGGCTGAGGCAAGAGCATTGCCTAAGCCAAAAGCTGGAGGTTGCTGTGAGATGTGACTCCACAGCACTCTACCGAGGGCAGCAAAGTGAAACTCTTAAAAAAAAAAAAAATTACCTGTTACCATGTTGTTCACTGGATAATTCTGAAGAGGAAAGTACATCTGCTTTTCTGCAACTGGAGTCCTTTTAAAATGCTTTTCTGCGCTATAAAATGAAACATACAGAAAGACACATTTCTTCACATTTATATTTGGTGGGTTTTTTGGACTTGTTTTACAAATGAGAACTTAAATATACACATCATAGTAATTTAATTGCTCTTTGATCAGATGTCAGTGGTATCAGGTGAAAATGTTAATTGTGAACTTGTTTTGTGCTTCCAAATAATATAAAGGCCCATAGAGATATTTTTGCTTTTCTTGGCCACTTCACAAAACAAATATTTATTGAGTCTATAGAGGCCTGAATCTTTTTCTCAATACCCTCAAAAGCATAACAATTCAATAATATTTTACAGTTAGATAAAAAATATGTATAATATGTAATTTTAAATATGCCAAAAGAAAACCATTGAAGACTACTTTATTTTATTTCTTTTTATTTTATTTTATGAGGCAGAGTCTCCCTCTGTTGCCCAAGCTAGAGTGCCATGGCATCGGCTAGCTTATAGCAACCTCAAATTTTTGGGCTCAAGTAATCCTCCTGCCTCAGCCTCCTGAGTAGCTGGGACTGCCACAACACTCAGACTAGGTCCTGTTCTTGCTCAGGCTGGTTCTAGGTGAAGGGATCTTCCCGTCTCAGCCTCCCAGAGTCCTAGGATTACAGGTTTGAACCATGGCCAACAAAATAAATTTTAGAAGAAAGTTAAACAAATTATACATCACAATGTCTACTATGATTTTTCAACATGGAGAAATGTTTATGGAATATGAAATGGAAAATCAAGAGACAAACTTTATATGTAGTATGACCTCAACTCTATTAAATGCATGTATTTGTGGAAGGTGAGAAACATACTATTGTCAATGACAGTTATTTCTGAGTGGTGGAGTTGCTGGAATTTAAATTTTCTTTATTCTTTCCTAGATTTTTCATTTTGACAAATTTGCAAGCATTACATTTATAATAATAAAGTAACGAAAAATAAGAAAAATAAAACAAAAATTCATGCAATTTTCAGAAGATTTAGGAAATATAATAGGAAGGGAAAATAGCATACTAAGTTTGGACTCTAGATCAGCTAAACTTGGTTTGAAATTAAGTTCCATTACTTGAATAATATTGGATAAATTATTTAGCTTTCTGAATTGTTTTCTTCAATTGCAAAATGGAGTGATAGCATTCATCTATCTCATAGGTTGTGAGAATCAAATAAAATACTGTAAATTGCTTAGCCACAGTGTCTTATGTGTACCAGGTAGTCAATAATATTCACCACACAGTGTCACTAGTAGTATACCAACAAAAGAAATGCTTCTATAGGTGGGGGTGAGGGGGTATTTTATCTATGTTCACACTGCACCCTCTGGTGGTTCCACATAGAAAAGGCTCTACATAGACATCTACGTAGGATTTATCCGTATCCTTTGTCCATTTTTGTTGTAATTGGATCGGACATATTTTTCCCAGACTCACAAGACCTCTTTGTATATTAAAGAAATGAGCCTTTCTAAGAGTATGACTTAAAATTGGAAAAATTATATAAATTAAATAATTCATTTTTATATTGAAGAAGGGTAACTACTATTTGATCACTTTTACTTCAGTAGCTAAATACAGGCTGTAGGGTTCACTAGGTCCCCATTCCTTCTGTGTCCTAAACAGAAATCACAAAGTACCTTGATTGCTCTAGATTGTGAACTAGACAGTTGCAGGTTTTTCCTAGCAGGCTTGAATCCAAACCAGGACCTTAAACATTCCCAGGCATTGAGAAAGGTATCTATGTTTTGCCCAAAACACTGAAAGAAACTGGCCCCAGCCCTGAACCAAATTCCTTAAACTGTCATATAAACTCCATACCCTGACCTCTGGTCTTGAACCTAAATAGAACATCCCTATTCTCTAGCTGTCCATTGCAAATGCTTTAACTGATCGCCCTGATGTTTAATGGTTTTTCTTCAGAATCCCACTGGCTGTATCTTGAAACGATTTGTGGCACTCCCTTGTGAAAATACTTCTGCTACTTTTAGGGCTACTCTAGCCACAAATTCGGCAGGAGGAAACATAGACTTTTGAATAACTAGCATTTCCTATAAATACTTGAAAAGCACTGACTTGGAAAATACAGAAGTAGGACTAGATTATGTATTACAAAAGTCTCAAAGGAGGAAGCCTTTCATAGATTGGCCCTAACATAATGACAAGTCCATGTCTGCCTGTCTTTTTTTTTTTTTTTTTTTTGAGACAGCCTCAAGCTGTCACCCTGGGCAGAGTACTGTGGCATCACAGCTCACAGCAACCTCCAACTCCTGCTCTCAAGAGATTCTTCTGCCTCTGCCTCCCAAGTAGCTGGGACTACAGGTGCCTGCCACAACGCCCGGCTATTTTTTGGTTGCAGCTGTCATTGTTTTGTATGTGGCTGGCACCTTAGCCGCTTGAGCCACAGGCACCAAGTCTGCCTGTCTTTTTAAGATTTAATTTCTTAAACTGAAGTAACTACATACAAACAATTTGGAAAGAGGGGGAAAATCACTCAGAACTAATTTGATTACAACTGCTAATATTTAATGTGTTTTCTTCCTCTTTAACAAAATGTATTTTCAAAATAATTTAACAATTACACATTAAATCCCTATTTTCTTTCTGGAGAGATTATTATAGCATAGTAGTTAAATGCATGGGCTCTGGAATTTGAGTGACCCAGTTCAAATCCTTCTTCTCCCCAGCTTCGTAAAATTTTCTGATTTAGGGAACATTACTTAATCTTTCTAATCTTAGATCTCTTTTTCAGTAAAATAGGAATGGTGATAATGATAATATCAATCTCATAGAGAGACTGTGAAAATTAAAAGAGATAAGCACACAGTGCTCACAGATGTCTACATTGAATTAAATATCAGTGAAGTATATTAATTCAATACCTTTCGGATAATTCTTTTATGTGCTTTGTTGGTACTTCACTATTTTCCCTAAAGGTCTGTATTTCATTTGGTGTTACTTCATCATCCTGTGTATAGCAAAAGAAATCACATTTTTTAAAAATCGGCACATCAACAATCCAATCAATATTTTTTTTAAAAAGGGAAAAAAATAAAAAATAAATTAAAAAGGGAAAAAGTAATCTTTAAAATATACATCAAGTCTTTATACATTTAGATTCATTCTATCTAGTTTGGTGGGGAAAACTTAAAACAATGTACACACATAACTAACTATACTATACATATGTAGAGATACATAAAAAATTCTTTAATTACCAAAGATAAGTAAAACTTTGATTTTATCCTCTTTTCAATTTTTGAAATTTGCTCTACTGTGGTCGCATTTCTTTTACCATATTTGACATATTACTTTTACCATATTACATATACTATTAGGAAATTTCTCATTTAGGCTATAAATCCACTAAGAACAATAACAATGCCCCCTATATTTACCCTTGGTATTGTCATTTGATGAAATACCATCCACTTAAATATCTATGGTTACATTATTATAATTGGCTAATATTCAATATCACTCGATAATTTTAAAATATGCTTATTATATAATAATATAATTCCTAGAGTTAATAGTCAATACAAGCATGTTATACTAATTTTTTTCATAGAAAAAACATTGGATTGAGTTGGAGTTGAGAAAATGTGTTTTAATTTTGCTAATATTTACTCATGTGAACTAAAACAGGTCTTTACCTTCTCTTTACTCAGTTTTCTTATTTATAAAACTAAATAATTAATCATCTTTAAGATCCCTTTAAGCTCTAAAGTTAAGGTATAGTCAATAATTATCATCAAATAATAACCATTCTATCACCACACCACACATGTCTCTGGAAACACTGTTAACAAGTCAAGGATTAGATACATTGTTTCCTCCTGCAAAATACTATTGCCTTTTAGCCAAAAATACTACTGAAAGAACTATTATTTTCAGATGATAATACTTTGGAAAGAAAAAAATAATTAAAGGAATACACAATATATAAGCTAATTGGTTAGCTTTGGACATATTTTAAAGATTTTCTCCCTAACTTTTTATTGTGAAAAATTTCAAACTTGCCAAAACTTTAAAGAATAGTACAATAAGTATTGTATGCCCTTCACCTAGATTCACTAAATGTTAACATTTTCACCACCTTGAGCGTCACCTCTCTATCCTTTTACTTTTGCTGTACTATTTGAAAACATTTACAGATATCTTGACACACTCCTTAACACCTAGAATTCATTTTATTAAATATATACACATTCTTTTATCTTTATAATACCACTATCACGATTAAGAAAATTAAACTTAATTCAATAACACCCAATACAGTTCATTGTTAAATTTTCCCAGATGTCCTCAAAATGCCTTTTATACATTTTTCACTTAAAAAATTCAGAATCTAATCAAAGTTTATGCCTCAGATTTGGTTACTATATCTCTTAGTCTAAAACAGTCCTTTTGCCTTGTTTGTATTTTGTGGCACTGACTAACTGTTTTAGAGTCCAGGCCAGTTAGCTATCTTGTGCTATGGTCCATAATCTGGATTTGTCAGATTGTTAAATCATAACTGGATTCTATTTAAAGCTTTTGAAATGATGGCTTGGTGCCTGTCGCTCAGCGGCTAGGGCACCAACCACATACACCAGAGCTGGCAGGTTCAAATCCAGCATGGGCCTGCCAAACAATGACAACTACAATCAAAAAATAGTCAAGAGTTGTGGGTGCCTGTAGTTCCAGCTACTTGGGAGGCTGAGGCCAGAGAATCGTTTAAGCCCAAGAGTTTGAGGTTGCTGTAAGCTGTGACACCACGGCACTCAAGGGTGACAGCTTGAGACTCTGTCTCAAATAAATAAAAGGAAAAACAATTATAAAAAAAATAAAGCTTGTGAAAAGAATACTATGAAGACAATATTGTTTACTTATGATACCATATCAGAGTGAAATAATGAGAAGTTGTTACAATATTGGTGATATTGAATTTGATCAGTTGGTTAAAGTGTTATCTGTCAGATCTCTCCATTGCAAAGGTACATTATTTCCCTTTGTTTTTTTGTTTTTTTGTTTTTTTTTTGGCATAGTCTCTCTCTGTTTCCCAGGGTAGTGCAGAGGTACAATTGTAGCTCACTGAAGCTCAAACTCCTGGGCTCAAGTGATCTTCCTGCCTCTAATTTGTGGTTGCAGGCATCTGATTTTTATATTTTTTTGTAAAGATGGAGTCTCACTATTGCCCAATCTTGTCTTGGACTTCTGGGCTCAAATGATCCTCCAGCCTTGGCCTCTCAAAGTGCTAGGATTACAGGTGTGAAACACTATATCTAGCATATCTTTGTAATTAATATGTAATCAGGGAGTGGTAAGATTTAGCATCCATTAATGACCTTTGCCTATATCAGTCATTATATTGGGGTTTGTGAAATGCAGATTTTCCATTCTATCATTCTTTCTATATTTGTTAGCTGTTATTCTTCTGTAAAGAAAAATGTTCCTTGTCCTACTCTTCCTTTCCTTCTTTCTTTCCTTTCTTTTCCCTTCTGTCTTCCTTTCTTTTTTCTTTTTTCTTTTTTGAGACAGAGCCTGTAGCATCACAGCTCACAGCAACCTCCAACTCCTGGGCTCAAGCGAGTCTCCTGCCTCTGCCTCCTGAGTAGCTGGGCACCCACCACAACACCTGGCTATTTTTTGGTTGCAGCCATCATTGTTGTTTGGTGGGCCCAGGCTGGTTTCAAACCCACCACCTTAGGTGTGTGTGGCTGGAGCCTTAGCCACTTGAGCCACAGGTGCCGAGCCGCTTTTTTTTTCTTTCCTTCTTCTTTTGGAGTACCACGATGGACCCATGGATTCTTTTTTTACTTAATATATTATAATCCATTACTGTCATTGTTTTTATTAATGCTAAAATTATCCCAAATTTAGCTATTGCATAAAGATTTTCAAGTAAGTCAAAAGCACAGGTAACTTTGAGGAAGGATGGCAAGAACTATAAAGCTTCCAATTTCTAGAATTACACACATTTATTGAGAGGTATTACTCAAAACATTTAACAAATGGCACATAAATTAATCAGAAGCCTACACTGGCAGTAAAGAATTAGTAAATAGCACTTGTTATTCCCTTAATCATACTGAAAGAAGCAAAGTTTCAAGTTTCTTATGTGAATAATTTTATTTATACAAAAATGCCTCAATTTTACTAACATGCTACTATAAAAACAATGTCAACAGCCTGGGCGAATATTTTATGAAGAGGAGCCCCCAGGCAACTGAAGCAGGATCAAAAAATACACTACTGGGACCTGATCAAACTAAAAAGCTTCAGCACAGCCAAGGACACAGTAAGTAAAGCAAGCAGACAGCCCTCAGAATGGGAAAAGATATTTTCAGGTTATGTCTCCAACAAAGGTCTAATAACCAGAATCCACAGAGGACTCAAATGTACTAGCAAGAGAAAAACAAGTGATCCCATCTCAGGGTGGGCAAGGGACTTGAAGAGAAACTCCTCTGAAGAAGACAGGTGCATGGCCTACAGACACATGAAAAAATGCTCATCATCCTTAATTATCAGAGAAATGCAAATCAAAACTACTTTGAGATATCATCTAATTCCAGTAAGATTAGCCCACATCACAAAATCCCCAAACCAGAGATGTGGGCATGAATGTGGAGAAAAGGGAACACTTCTACATTGCTGGTGGAAGTGCAAACTAATACATTCCTTTTGGAAAGATGTTTGGAGAACACTTAGGGTTCTAAAAATAGACCTGCCATTCGAACCTATAATTCCTCTACTGGATATATATCCAGAAGACCAAAAATCACATTATAACAAAGATATGTGCACCAGAATGTTTATTGCAGCCCAATTCATAATTGTTAAGTCATAGAAGAAGCCCAAGTGCCCATCAACCCACGAATGGATCAATAAATTGTGGTATATGTACACCATGAAATATTATGCAGCCATAAAGAAAGATGGAGACTTTACCTCTTATATGTTTACATGGATGGAGCTGGAACATATTCCTCTTAGCAAAGTATCTCAAGAATGGAAGAAAAAGTATCCAATGTACTCAGCCCTACTATGAAACCAATTTATAGCTTTCTTATGAAAGCTATAACCCAATTATAGCCCAAGAAGAAGGGGAAAGGGCAGAGGGAGGGGAGGGGAGGGGGAGGATGGGGAGTGGGAGAATAATTGGTGGGACCACACCTATGGTGCATCTTACAGGGGTACATGTGAAATTTACTAGGTGTAGAATATAAATGTTTTAACACAATAACTAAGAAAATGCTGTGAAGGCTATGTTGACCAGTTTGATGAAAGCATTTCGAATTGTATGTAAAATCAGCACATTGTACCCCATGATTGCATTAATGTACTCGGCTATGATTTAATAAAATAAACAAAAAATAATGTCAAACCAAATAATGCCCAATAAAAGCACACTCTTTAAATTCCTTAATCTGGCTCATTGGTGCCAGTCACGTCACAAGATTTTTTTTTTTTTGAGACAGAGTCTCATTAAGTCACCCTTGGTAGAGTCCTGTGGTGTCACAGCTCATAGCAACCTCCAACTCTTGGGCTTAGCTATTTTTTTGTTGTTGCAGTTGTCATTGTTGTTTAGCTGGCCCAGGCCAGGTTAGAACCCACCACCCTTGGTGCATGTGTCTGGAGCCATAACCACTGTGCTATGGGCACCAAGCCACAAGTAAATTTTTTTTTTTCTTTGAGACAGAGCCTCAAGCTATCCCCCTGGGTAGAGTGCTGTGGCGTCACAGCTCACAGCAACCTCCAACTCCTGGGCTCAAGCGAGTCTCCTGCCTCAGCCTCCCAAGTAGCTGGGATCACAGGTGCCTGCCACAATGCACGGCTATTTTTTGGTTGCAGCCATCGTTGTTGTTTTAGTGGGCCTGGGCTGGATTCAAACCTGCCACCTTAGGTGTATGTGGCTGGCACCTTAGCCACTTTAGCCACAGGCGCCAAGCCCAAGTAAATATTTTTAATATTACATTGCTTTCAAAAAAAAATTGAAACTGTAGATTCTAACCAAGTGCCTTCATTACTCTTACCTCTTCTACTGGAAAATGTTGGTCTTGTTCCCAAATAAAACTACCAATTTTTCTTCTTATTTCTGTTTGAGAAAAACAAATCCAATACTATTTTTTAAAAAGTAACTTTGTAGAATCTCCTAAATTTTGCTTAAAGTCTCAAATTTCTAGGCCAATATTATTACATTTGCATCAAAGCCACCTAAGACACTTGTTAAAATGCAGATTCCTATTCAATCAGATCAGTGAGGAGCTCAGGAATTTGCATTTCTAACAAACTCTCCACATGATGCCAATACATTATGATAATCATTATTATAGACTTTTTCTCCTGGAATATATATATACTATACTATATAACTTAAAGTTAATTTTACCTTTTTTTTTTTTAAAGAGAGGGGTTCTCACTACGTTGCCTGGGTTGAAGTGCAGTGGCAAAGTCGTGGTGGCTGTTCAGAGGCATGATCATAGTGCAGTACAGCCTCCAACTCTTAGATTCAAGGGATCCTCTAATCTCAGCCTTCCAAGCAGCTGGGATTATAAGTATGTACCATTTTGCCCAGTTTTTTTTTTATTCTTTTTAATGTGGCTATGAGAAAATTAAAATCTATATGTGGCTCCTATTTGCATCTCATACATCTACTAGACAATATTGCTGTAGGGAGATTTTAAGATATATTCTTTTTAGTTTTTAAAAGGAAAACATTTGTCTTTAAAATAGGCTTTAAAAACTTAAATACATGTTAATATAAGACGCTAAACTTGAAGACAGGAATGATAATTAAAAATCAGACCAAATGGCCATTTTACAAGTTCCTTGAAGGTGGGTATTCACTGATTGGCACAAATAGTTTTTTAATAAATCATTCTCCCATCCAGTCATTAATTTATTTGGGTAAGCACTCAGAACAATATAAAGTTATAACTAGGTCTCACCAGGACATCAACTTTGAAACATAATCTCTGAAATTTTTTCTTTAAAAAAACTAAATTTTCTTTATACAAGTCTCATTGTGTTGCCCAGGCTGAACTCAAACTTCTAGGCTCAAGGGATCTCCCACTTCAGTCCCCCAAGAAGCTGAGTCTATAGAGGTATGACATTGTAACCTGTACCTGGGGATTCTTAGAATCCCCATGCTCTTTTATGGAAGCAATTTTCCAAGTTTTTTTCTTTTGTTTTGTTTTGAATACTCTCCTCACTGGGAATTTGTACTCAGCTGCAGTCTGTCTTTCTGGAGATAGACATGTGCCTATTGAATAAATAAGCTAAACATCAAAAACTGATGCATAACCTTAAAAAATGGGATAAAGTTAGCCCTTTTTTGATAGGTAGTATTTGTACAGATGAACAGGATAGGAAAGCATGTGCCAAGCAGGGAAAACTAAAAGCTAATTTCAGAAATAGTTTTTTTATTTACTTGTCCTTCCTACTTCATAGGGTTGCTGAAAAAGTTAATGTGCAAGTACAAATATATGGGTTTATCACATAACCAATCTTTAAATATCAGAAGAAAACAATTTAGAAAAATAAAAAAGACATTCAAAACTAGCAAAGAACGCTTTTATTAAATACTCACATATCAGACACCTTAATATATCATCTCATTTTATCCTCAGAACAAGTTGGGAGAAGTTAAGTAACTTGTTAAAGGCAACTGGGCAACTGGGTTGAAACCTGGCACACAGGAGGAGTGTGGCTCAATGAATGTGTGAATGATCAATAAACAAAGCCAGGATATACATTTAAGGCAATCTGATCTGAATTAAATATTGCATTTAATTAGATAGCAAAACTCAAAAATCTCCAACTGAGAACAAAGATCAGTTAAGTTGAATTTGGCTGTCTAACAGAGAATATCTGAACGATCTTTGCTAACCTTCTTGCAGGCATTCAGGAGGAAGAATGAAATGACCTAAAGCGACCGAGTTTTTAATTTCAGCTTTAGCTACTGCAGAGAGATAGTAGGCATGAAAAACTGTAGCATTGTCTTCTATGTATTCAAGACTCTGGTATATTCTAGGAGAAAGAAAGGACATATTTTAGGTTATGATATAAATAGTGATGTATTCAACCTGTCAAAAGAATGAATAAACGACCGGAAGTAGGGTGTGATTACATTAAAGGATACACTTAACGCTGTGACTTAACGCTATTTTTTTCTGGCAAGGAAGTAAAAATACATAGCTTGAGTTATTAGTAGTTTGGGGGCCTAAATCTAGGCATGTTTCAGCTTTAGAGACTTGGTTAATGATTAAATGAATTAGGAAACTTGACCTAACAGTACTGTTAACTGCGCATCAACAACCAATTGAGAGACACAATGACTGTTTTACCCGAAGTCACCATTATGAAGAGGGATCAATTAATTCTGAGGGAGGGGGTAGGCAGGTGGCCTTCACATACAGGAAGAAAGCAACATCTTTCGTGTAGGTGGAGATGAGGGGAAGGACATTAGAGGAAATTGTGCAGGAAGGTAGGTGCTAGCCAAGCTCTGCCTCTGGAGGTAAGCAGCAGGGAAGTGGGAGAGGGAGGGTGGAAGAGCCATGATCCCATCTCTGCTTTGTAAAGGAAATTGAATAGCATTGTGACCGGGACAGACTAGAGGCAGAGTTACCTCTTACTAGGTTAATGGCAGTGAGGATGAAAAGCAATTACATGGATACATTTGGGGTAGGAGAGTCTCTTCAAAAGAGACTGAAGATTTTAGGTTTGGAGAACACAGGACCCGGTGCAGGAATGAGGGGCAATCAGGAGATTTGGTTTCGACGTGGAGTCTAATGTCTAGAGACAGCTGGAAGCACACGCCGGCACTCGGAAAGGGGTCTGAAGGCAGGCAGCCAGCCCCGCACCGCGGCGGGGAGGGGAGAGGGGGCTGTCTATTCCCGCACCGCCACCACGACGCACGTCGGGGACTGACACCTGCTCATCCCGGCCTCGCCCTATCAGCAACATTTACTAGTGCGCTGCTATTTCCAGCCCCTACTCCGGTCTCATCATGACACGAGAGGCACTGCCGAGTGGCGCTCAGGTACCTCAGCGTGTCTGGGTGCGAAGCGTCAGAGCTGAACAAGAATTCGGCCTCCCGCGAGTCACTGATCGTTCCCCCTTCCGCCACTGTGGAAGCAAAGCACAGAGTCAGACCGCTAGGAATACCGGCACCAGGGGGAGGTGCGAAGCTGCCTTCGTTGTTCACCCACCCTTCCACTCAACCTCCTACCCCAGAACTGCTTCAGCTCCTGGCTGACGCTGCCGCAGAACCAACCGCTCTGCCCTTGAAACATGGCGCCGCCTAAGGCGCTAGGCCGCAGAGCGGCTTCCAGAGCTGAGATCGCTGATTGGTCCCGGGTCCGACGGCCGTTCCATGATTGGTCCTCAGGAGCAATGGGCGGGAAAGGCCTGCGGCACTCGGAAGAAAGCCGGTCACTACCTACCCAACTGCGCTGACTAGTTCTCCTGGGAGGTTGGGGCCTGCCAGCCGGACCCAAGAGAGGACGGTCGCTGGAGCTTGAGAGTTTGAAATCCTAAGTATTAACAAAGGTATTGCATATGTCCAGATTCTGTAGCGTCAAGTATTATCTTGTAGCAAAACTCATTTTATCATTTCATCTATAAATGTTGCGTTGAATCTCTGAAAGATGATGAGGACTTTTTTAAAAAAACACAAATATGATGACATTATTGCACTTAAAACGTATTTCTTTAATATAGTCAAATACCACGTGTCCAGGTTTCCAGTTTTCTCAAAATTCTCTTGGTTTTCTTTAACAGTTTCACATCAGTTGTGATGTTAGATTTGTTTGGTGTTCGGTCTTTTTAATCTAAAATTTCAAAATTATCCATATAAGGTTGTCCATGGAATCTTTTGTTATCTTTTTCTAACGTCTCCAAGGCTTTCTAGTCATAGTTGTTGTTTTTTTTTTTTTATTTTTGGTAATGGTTATTTGTGCCTTCTTTTTATTTCTTAGTCTTATCTGAGGTTTGTCAATTTTTTTTTTAATACAAGTAAGACCTTGATATTCCACTCTTTTGAGTTACAGTTGGGACAAGTGGGAGAGGGGGAAAGATTTGGAGTGGGATGGAGAACCAGAAGGGGCTCCATAGCTGGAGGTCTAGTCCATTTAGTTTTGGTACTGGAAGGGGCTCACGGCCACTTTCATTGAGAAGACACGTGCGGATGAGGGCTTCTGTCACCGAGAAGGGGTCACAGTTGGCAGAGGAGCGAAGGTCTTCAAACTAGCCTTTCTTCTCCTGGCCCACAGTCCGGGGAATACGGATGCTGCCCCTGTGGTTGGTTACACCAGCGGAAAAGTCGTTGATGTTGGAGGTTTCGTGGAATCAGTTAGGCTCCGGACATTGTACAGACCCTCCTTGGGATCATAGGTGGGAATGTGGCACTAGTGCCTCCTCAGTGTAGTTCAGACCATTCTCCTCCCGCATGGCCTTGGTGCTGAAATTGGTATGGCAGCCTGCACTATTCCAGTTCCCAGGAATGGGCGTAGGATCAAAGGTTGCTATCACTCCAAAGTCTTCACACACGCGATGCGAGATGAAACGAGCCATCCAGAGATAATCTCCCATGCTGATTCCTTCACAGGGTCCAATTTGGAATTCCCACTGGGCAGGCATGACCTCAGCATTAATCCAGGCAATCTTGACTCCAGCAAACAAGTAGGCTCAGTAGTGAGCCTCCACTATATCCCTGCCAAAGGTTCTGTCTGTTCCCACACCACAGTAATAAGGACCCTGGGGCCCAGGGAAGCCATTGGCCAGCCAACCGAAGGGGTGCCCATCTGTCCCCATCAGTGCGTATTCCTGCTCCATTCCAAACCAGGGGTGCTGGATGCTCACCACGTCCATTATCCGCTTACAGGTATGCCTCAAATTGGTCTCTGCGGGCTTTCGATTATACTTGAAAACTTCACAGAACACCAGCTTGTTGGGGTCCTTGGTGAAGGGGTCCTGGAATATGGCAGCAGGCATGAGATACACATCACTGTTGGAGCCTTCGGACTGGAAAGTACTAGAGCCATCAAAATTCCACTCAGGTAACTCTTCTACACACTTGGGCTCACAGTCCAGGGTGCGGGTCTTGCAGCGCAGACCTTCTCTGGTACCATCCATCCAGATATATATGGCTTGGATTTTCTTTCCCTGAGGAAGGGACGTATACACCTGCTTGATGCCTTTGTTTAAGTGGGAACTTGCTGAGGTGGCCATGGTGGAAGATGTTCTGGGCAGTGAGCAGACAGGCAGGCGGGCAGGCCATGAGAGCGAGGTGAAGAAGAGAGGAGGCTGAAATGCTGCTCAAACACCCTACTCTTCTCCCATCCTCGACTCCCGAGGTTTGTCAATTTATTAGCCTTTGCTAAAGAACAAATTTTTGATATTGTTGTCACTACCTTTATATTAATATATTTCTTTTCTGTGTCATTAATTTTAGCGCTTTATAATTTCTTTCCACTTTCCTTAGTTTTAAATTGCTGTTCTTTTTCTAATTTCTTGAAATAGGATGACTGGTTTTCATCCTTTTTTCCCCGAACCTGTGCTTTTAAGGTTATATGTTTCCTTTTAAACTGTGTGCCACGTGTTTTTGAGATGTAATTTTTTCTTATTGTTTAACATAAAATATTTTCAAATTTCCAAATATATATGATTTTCTAATTATCTTGGTATTGATTTCTGGTTAACATGCATAATATGTCCAAGAGTATGAGCTATGTGATTATAATCCTTTGAAATTGGTTGACATTTTTCATATGACTAAATTGTATGATCACTGTCTTGTGTATGTTTAGAAAGAATATTCTAAAGCTGTTGAATGTTCCAGAGTATTGGGTACAGTGTTCCATATATGGGGTATGACAATTAAGTTTGTGAACCTATCCTAGAAAAAGTGCTACTACATACCTCATTGCTGAATATCACTACCATCACCTTTGAAGTACCCCCCTTGGGAAGCTATGCATACGGGCTAGTGCCTAGTCTACCCTTCAAAACAATTTTTCTAGAATGAGTTTGCAAACTTAATTGTCCACCCTCATACAATGATAGGTCTGATGACCATTCCAGGAAAAGAGTTCCAAAATCACTTTGAAGAGTGAACTAGACACTGGTGCCAGTGCATAGCTTCCCAAGGGAAGTACTACAAAGGTGACCCTAGTGAGATTCAGCAATGAAGTATGTAGCACTTTTTCTCTAGAATGAGTTTGCAAATTTAATCGCCTAACCTCATATTTGTTGGGTCAAGTTTTTTAATCATCTTGTCTAATTCTTCAATCAATTTCTGATAAGTCGTGTAAAAATCTCATACTTCATGGATTTATCAATTTCTTCTAGATTTGTTAATTTTTGCTTTATATATTTTGAAATTATGTTTTAGGTACATGAAAGTGCTTGGCAAAATTGTAACAAAATATATTTAGCAGGTACCAGGATAACTATTAGGCCCCTGGAAAAGTACCCAGCACATTCTACAGTGCCTCAGCACTTCATTATCTTTATTTTTTTTATTAAATCATAACTGTGTACATTAATGCAATCATGGGGTACAATGTGCTGGTTTTATATACCATTTGAAATATTTTCATCAAACTGGTTAACATAGCCTTCACTGAAATTTCTTTCTTTTTTTTCTTTTCTGAAGATTTTTGGCCAGGGCCGGGTTTGAACCCACCACCTCCAGCATATAGGGCTAGCACCCTACTCCTTGAGCCACAGGCACCTCCTTCACTGCATTTTCTTAGTTATTGTGTTAAGACATTTATACTCTACACTTAGTAAATTTAACACGTACCCTTGTAAAATGAACCATAGGTGTGTTCCCACCAATTGCCCTCCCTCTACCCATCCTCCCCCTTCCCCTCCCCTTGCTCTCCTCCCTCCCCCTCTTCTTGGGCTATAATTGGGTTATAGCTTTCATATGAAAGCTACAAATTGGTTTCATAGTAGGGCTGAGTACATTGGATACTTTTTCTTTCATTCCTGAGATACTTTGCTAAGAATATGTTCCATCTCCATCCATGTAAACATGAAAGGCTCCATCTTCTTTAAGGCTGCATACTATTCCATGGTGTACATATACCACAATTTATTAATCCATTCATGGGTTGATGGGCAACTGGGCTTCTTCCATGACTTAACAATTATGAATTGGGCTGCAATAAACATTCTGGTGAAAATATCTTTGTTATAAAGTGATTTTTGGTCTTCCAGATATATGCCTAGTAGAGGAATTGTAGGATCGAATGGCAGGTCTATTTTTAGATCCCTAAGTGATCTCAAAACATCTTTCCAAAAGGAACATTTTAGTTTGCACTCCCACCAGCAGTGTAGAAGTGTTCCTTTTTCTCCACATCCTCGCCCACATCTCTGGTTTTGGGATTTTGTGATGTGGGCTAATCTTACTGGAGTTAGATGATATCTCAAAGTGGTTTTGATTTGCATTTCTCTGATGATTAAGGATGATGAGCATTTTTTCACGTGTCTTGGGCTGTGCACCTGTCTTCTTCAGAGAAATTTCTTTTCAAGTCCCTTGCCCACCCTGAGGTGGGATCACTTGTTCTTTTCTTGCTAATACATTTGAGTTCTCTGTGGATTCTGGTTATTTAACCTTTGTCAGAGACATAACCTGCAAGTATCTTCTCCCATTCTGAGGGCTGTCTGCTTGCTTTATTTACTGTATTTTTGACCGTGCAGAAGCTTTTTAGTTTGATCAGATCCCAGCAATGTATTTTTGATGTACTTTCTTATCTTTAAACAGCTGTTCATACTGTCTCTGCTTGCTTTAGAGCTGCTTTATTTGGCCAACAGTGTCCTTTAGCTAACTGTAATACTAAAATCCCCACCTAGTGGAAAAATCGTAACATCATTAACATTGGTTGCCTGACAGCTTATGATGATGGTCTGTGCCTGTATGATTTGTTTCACTGTGAACAAACAGCAATACAATGTACAAATTTTGCTTTATTCATTGGGAAGAGATTTAAAGCAATACCACAGGGTGGGCAGATGGGTATTTAGATAGCAAGAAGCTCCTGTGCAAGAAATTCCTGTGCTTCCTAGGAACACACACATGAAACTCATCTAACTGGCCAAGCTGGACTTGTCTGAATTATTCTTTGGTCTGTCAACTCTTCCTCTTATGCACTCAAACTCTCAACTCCACCTTAGTTTGGGAAGCAGTTTTCCCACGGTTTTCCTGAAATAATACTTGTTATTACTTTTTTTTTATTTTTGAGACACAGTCTCCCTATTTTGCCCTCAGTAGAGTGCTGTAGCATCA